TTATTTGATTTCATTAACATCATTTAATCATACATTACATTTCAAATTACATATCATTTTTAAATGTTTTTTACATTACATTGCATTTTTAACGGTTACAAAGTCATTTCTTAATTTTCCTTTACTGGTCTTCATTTTTCTTTGTCCTCTGGCCTTGAAAAAGCTCTTAAGGGTTGCAGGTATTTAGTGTTTTTACAGGAGGCGGGGTATGGGAATCGAACCCCGTCCTCCTGGGCAGAGGGCAGAGCCTGTACTCACTGGGCTACCGTGGGCCCATCCCTGCACCATAAAATTGGCCTTTTATAGCAACCTCTTCAGGTCGTTTTACATATTAAAAGACACTTTTCACTCGTACGATAATGTACTTGCATGAAATTTTAGCGGCAGTGTTTGAATAGAAAAAATACTAATTTTATTGAACTGATTTTGCGAAGATATGTTCGTAAAGACCCTTCCACTCAAATTGAAAACTAAGCATCTTATAACTTCGTCTTCCCCATAAAACTAATTTGGCATCATTCTACACAACCCAAGGGGGCTTTTTATGCAAAAAAAACCGCTGCCAATTTATTGGCAAAGAGCTTCCTCATAAAAAATAATATTAATAAAACGCATCGGTTATTAACAAAAAAATTCGTATTTTTGAATTTTGATTCACTGTCTAGTGTCTTAACTACCAGACTACATTTCGATGTTAGCCAAAAGGCCGAGAAAACAAAAACTCATACAGACATTTGTTGGTAATTCAAAGTAGTTTCCAAATATGTAAACCAAATTGTCCTACGACGTCTGGTTCCAGATCTCGATTTCAAGCCCATCACAGAACTTCCTCTATGAGAAAGCAAAAGAATGAGGAAGCACTATGCCAATGATTTAGCAGCGGTTTTCATGATATTTGGTGAATCTTTATCTATTTGGTCTTAAATTAAAGCTTGACTGCTCTGCTCTCATGATGACAACAACAAAAATTGTGATAATAAATTGTGATAATAAAAGCGCTGACACAAGGAAGAGCACCGACACCTCGGCTCCAAGTTCGAATCCTTAGGGATGGAGCCCGATATCAGAACTTCTAGTTCTGGCGCTGACCGACGGAGTCTACACTTATCATGGAGGGAGCCAGAAAAAAGTGAGAGGTGCTCGCAAGAAGCGGAGATGCTGGATGGTGTCGGGCGTGAGACCGGGTCCTCTCTCACAAGGACGGCACTAGTCCAGCTTACGAAGGCGAAGTTCTGACGAACGTACCGAAGAAGAAACATCAGCACAAGGGAGAGCACCGACAAAGACGGCTCCGGAAGGCGGGAATGACTCTGGATGAGGGCTCCGCGGGGCGAGCGGAGGATCACCAACGAGTTGACACGGTTCCTGAACCTCTGATCACCGCGCCTTGGCGTGCGGTGGATGGGGGATGTAGGGAAATGACCAAACACATCGATGCAGCAGCACTGCTAAAAGGCACCCACCGAAGTAATGTCTGACGATGGTTCCGATGGGAATCATGCCGGAGTTCGGAAGGGCCACTGGTGCAAGGGTTTACCCTGCCCACGCCCTCTCCATAAAAAACAAAAAAAAAAAAACACATACATACAAGATTCGCGCTCGGACCAGAAGACCGGCAGGACGTGTCTTGCTCGCACTCCTGCTTCTCCTCGATTTCTAGTGCGGTTATATGTAGTGCCGAAGTGTCTTCGTGTGCGCCAAGTGCGCAGCTTGACGCGCCGCATCGATACGTGTGTGTGCAGTCTTGTAGCTGTGCGTGCACGGCTGTAGTGGTGCCTTTTTTACTCTGCCCAGTGTTTTCCCGCGTACCGAGTTGTCGGTGTGAGCACCGCGCGCTAGTGTGAGTGCTTGCCTGTCACCGTGGTGCGAACGCAGAAGGCGCGTGCGACTCGCGGAATGTCAGCAGCCGCAAACGACGGGCTGCAGAGCCCGCAGGGGCAGACGTCGGTCGAGAAGTCTGGCGTGCCAAGCTTGATGGAGCACGGCCCGCTCCCATCGCCGCGGACGCCTCCTTACACAACGGTGAAGGCAATTACGGCGAAAATAATCGTCACTCCTTTGCAATGCAAGGAAAAGGATGCCAAGCTCCCGTCTCTCGCGGAATTCGCGACGGGACCTTGGAGGTCAAGCTGGAGCGGATGGACGGCCTTATACGCGGTCTTGGCCAGTTTATCGAAGGCAAGTCAAATCTCCATAAGGAGGTGATCAGCTATCAGCTGAGCCTTGTGATGGCCCTCTCAGCGCTGGAGAAGTCTTTGGCGAGCCAAGTGCCATCCTCCCGTAGCAGACAAGGAGGTTTGCACTTCCCCTCTGTTCTCGGGCAATGCAACCAGTAAACGGCCTGAAACGTCACCGCTGGCGTCACTCTCAACACCTAAGCGCCATGGCGTAACAGCCGCATCCAAGCAGCATGACGAGGACAACAACGAGGTCGGAGACAAAGACAGATTCGTACTTGTCGACCGCCGACGTCATCACCAGCGTAATCAGACGGCAACAACATCTGGAAAAGTCCACGCCCGACAACAGCTGAAGCCACGACCAGCGCAGCGTAGAGCTCACCACCAACCAGACGCAATCGTCATCAAGGCGAAGGATGCGACGAACAAGGAGACCTTCTCACCTTCGGGTCATGGATTTGGCCCAAACTTTTTCTGGTGATTCAGGACAGTTAGGAAACATGCCCTGTTATGTAAGGTTGTGTGAATATGCCCTACACTGACAGACCTTTCTAGCCCCGATGCCGTGAAACGACACGGCGCGGATACCACACACATTCACGAACGATCCCCCTCACTTTCACGTATTGGCTACGAGAATCACTTAGGAACCGCTCCGTGAGTGACTCACGGAGTATATCCGTGAAAAATCATAGCTACGTTATGAGGTGCGTTCAGCGAGATTTTGCGTATAAAAGGCGAGCGGCCAATTAACAAAATTGTACGAGAAGAATAAATAACAGAATTTTTTGTAGGATTCTCATTACATAGTGCTACTGATAATGGAAATGTATCTTATTAGTTGTAAAAGTAATTGTTTAACCCTTTAACGTCTGAAATGACCATTTTTGGACAACATTTATAGCGATGAATTACACCAACTAAAAATTGTTTAAAAAACCTTTCAGTTATAATTACTTACGTAAAATTTAATGTACTTTTCAAATCTGAGGTCAGAATTTTCAAAAATTTATTTAATAAAAAGTTATAAACAATTTTGTAAAAAAAAATATGAAATTTCGAGAAAAAAAATTTCGTTTAACTCAAATTTCAACACAAAGACCTGTATGTCATGAAATGATTTCGACAATTTTTAACTCCATAACCATCAACTTTACGAGAAAAAGTTGTAGAATAAAAAGTGTTTAGAATTGATAAAAAAACATGCCTGATTTTTGTAATTCATCGCTAACTCGTAACAGGACATCTTAAACGAAAAATTACAAAATGTACAAGTCTCAAAATTAGTCAAACAATACATTTGAATTTTTTCAGAATTTCTGAAACCTACTATCACTTATTTTCAAAGGTCTCTGTAATTCTTAAGAAAAAAGTAAAAACGCGTTAAATTTGGACCTTTGAAAATAGGTGATAGGAGGTCTCGAAAATTCTGCAAAAATTCAAATGTATTCTTTGGCTAATTCTAAGATTTGTACATTGTGCAATTTTCCGTTTAATATGTCCTATTACTAAAATCACAAAGGTTTTTCAATAAACTAGATAATGATTTTTAAAATGGGCCCTAAGGCCCATTGGATCAAACTAAGCATAGGGGGCTTCATTATTAGATACCAGGAGACCAGAAAAAAATTTTCAGGACATTTGGTGACCCGCATCTCATGTGGTCTCCTTGTTAGAAAAAAAACTTTCCATATTATCACCTGATACATTAATCAAAAAACTATATCATTTCAACAATTCAACTCAACTCAAATTACGATCACCACTGTGGGCTATGTGCTATGAAGACATGTAACGGTCTACGTTTAGCGTATCGCGTTTGTATACAATGTCTTAGCGCGGCAGCAGTAGCGATGGCCTTTTATTTTCACGGGTATAGTCCGTGAGTATTCACTGCTAGGCTACAAGAGTACAGTCAGGCAGCCCGTCTGTGAGATCAACGGTCTGCGCGCTTGACTCACGGCGCATAGGTGTATTACTGTAGTAGCCAGTGCCTGAATTCGTGTAGTATCCGCGCCGTGCCGTTTCACGGCACCGGGGCTAGAAAGGTCTGTCAGTGTAGAAGTGTTAGATAATAAATAAACGTTAAAATAATAAAATTAAGCATATTAAGCGCAATAAATATTCATTTCCTATCCTTAAACTATTTTGGTTACTTATTTTAGATACCTAGATCTTGAAAACATGACATTTCATTTTTAAGAAGTTGTTGGATATCACTCGTGACCCAAAACATTGCAATATTGCTCAAAGACATGGCATGAGATCATGGCAGATAGTGGTTTTATGTGCAAATATTATTTACCTCATCAAATCATTGATAAAATTCAACTCTGAGTAGGTATTTGAAGTGTTAAATTAGTCAGTGAAAAGTGTTTTGATAATAACTTGTCGGATCTCCAGTGCTTGTATTAAAATAATAATTATTTGGAGCGTTTAAGGCCATAAGTATTGAAATTAAACACTTTACAATGTCATAATTGAACAATATTGCAATGTTTTGGGTCACGAGTGAGATCGAAAAAATTCTTAACAATGAAATGTAATGTTTTCAAGAACCAGGTGTCTAAAACGAGTAACCAAAATAGTGTGAGGATAGTAAATGAATATTTATTGCGCTTCATATGCTTATTTTTATTATTTTAACGTTTATTTATTATCTAACACTTCTAGGGCATATTCACACAACCGAACATAACAGGGCATGTTTTCTTACTGTCCTGAATCACCAGAAAAAGTTTGGGTCAAATCCATGACCCGAAGGTGAGAAGGTCTCCTTGTAAGTACGCCAACATCCTGCGATCTCTCAAGTCAGACCCGATGTTGCAGCAGAAAGTCGTCAGCAGCGTAAATAACATCAGACGCAGCGCCGCGGGTGCCATAGGGCTGCAACTGAACAACGCCCCCGCCCTCGGTGAGGAGCTTGGTACGGTGCTTGGCGCTGTAGCTACAGCCAGTGCCCTGCAGCACACGTCCATGCTTGAGATTAAGGACCTGGATGAGTGTGCCACCAAAGAGGAGATCACCAAGGCACTGGACGCCCTACTGGGCGCTCCGGTGTCTCAATGCGACCCCGTGAAATCTCTGCGGAAGGCATACGCGGGAACACAGGTGGCTGCGGTCGCGCTCCCGGATGACCTGGCGGCCAAGGCGCTGAAGCTAGGCCACATACGGATCGGCTGGGTGAACTGTCACATACGTGGTCGCGAGGTGGCCGCGCGCTGCTACCGCTACTGGAGTCCCGGTCAAGTGGCCGCTCGCTGCAAGGGTCCCGACCGTACGGAGCTCTGCTACCGAAGCGACCAGAAGGGCCATCAAGCAAAGGACTGCAAAGACCAACCGGCGTGCGTCCTCTGCCAGGAGCGAGGAGCCAATGACCACCGTCATGCATCCACAAGCTCGAGCTGCCCACTAGCACGGAAGGTCACCCAAGCCCGCCGATGATGAGAATCCTCCAGCTCAATCTCATTCACTGCGAGGCTGCCCAGGACCTGCTCTGCGATACCATCAGCAAGCTGCGCATCGACGTGGCCATCCTGTGTGAGCAATACAAGAACCTCGCTCCACCCAACACATGGCTCGCCGATGCCGACGGCCAAGCAGCTATCTGGGTGCAAGGAGGAATCCCGGTTCAGGAGCGCCCGGCGAGAGTGTATCCCTACTTCTCGTGGGCCCGAATCGGCGGAATCTTCTTTTTCAGCGTCTACGCTCCGCCAAGACTCTCTGGGACTGAATTTTCCGCCCTCCTCGCGAACATCTCCGAGGAGGCCCGTGGCAAGAGGCCCCTTGTCATCGCAGGGGACTTCAACGCATGGTCAACGGAGTGGGGATGCAGGGCGACTAGACCGCNACACACACACACACACACACACACACACACACACACACACACATACAATTGAATCGGCTTCCTTGGCTCAGTGGGTATAGTTCTTTCCTGCTGATACAAGGTACACCGTAGGGCGTGGGTTCGATCCCCACCAGACGAATTTTTGAGGTTCGTTTTTTCGCCTGGTGTGGTCGAGCCCGTGCCCGAGGTGGAGCGAGTACCACTCAAAAAGAAGACCTGGGCTAATGTCATCAGCCTCCGAAGCGGTAAAAAACCCCGATCACTGTGCGAGCTGGAAGCGATAGGATAACCATAGGATAAGTAGGAGCCCGAGGCGAAGGCTCACAAGGCTGGCAACAGATGGAGCACAACACTCCCATGATGAAGTCGGAAGCGAGGACCACACTCACAAGAGGGCGCCGGATGTGAGAGCCAAGGCTCTGCTGGAGCACATGATGGCGCCTGAAGCGAGAACCACACTCACAAGATGTAGCCGACAGAGCAAATTGGGCGCTTGCCATCGGTGGCAGAAGCGAGAACCACACTCACAAGATGGCACTAGACAGCGAGTTCTAAAGAAGATGTCCAACTCAATCATATTTTCACGTAAAATTTTCCACTCTTTTCAATGGTGACCTTCAATTTGACCTTGAACATAACCTATACTCTACGGTGAATTAAAAATCGATTATTCGCACGGTGATCCCCATTTTTTATAACAGATTTGAAAAGAGCACAAAATTTCACGTCAAATTGTATGTTTTGTTTTTTTTTTAAGGTCATTTAGGAGGCGGTACAATGAGAAAAAAAGCCCTTATTTGAACTTAGTTTTAGGTTAAATTGGGGTTTTATTTGCGTCTGTATCGCCCTTAAAATGACCTTGAAAAAAAAAACAAAACATACATTTAGACGTGAAATTTTGTGTTTTTTTCAAATCTGCAATAAAAAATGGGGGTTACATTTGAAAAATCGATTTTTGGGTCACTGGAGCTTGAAGGTTATGTTCAAGATCAAATTCAAGGTCACCATTGGATTCCTCGTGAAAAAATACGTCGGATATAAGGTTTTTGATTTTTTTTCCCAACTTATTCTGCGAGATTTCCAGGGGTTTCCATATTTATTCCCCACCCTGTATAAACCAAATTGTCCTACGAGGTCTGGTTCAAAATCTCGTTTTCGAGCCTATCACAGAGCTTCCTCTATGAGGAAGCAAAAATCGTTTTTTTGAAAATCCTAGAGTGGTGTTACCCCATAATCATATTTGATTGTTGAGCGACCTTCAAACATTGTTTGTAAGGACTAAAAGTGTACGGAGCTTTCTCTTTGTACTTTATAAAAACAATAAAAGGGTGGGCAAGCTAAACTACAAATATTTTTTTATTTTTAACCATCCTTATGTGCAGTCTACAATTATCTATTCCAATACCAAGAACTCAACCTTCAAAGAGCCCTAGATGCCTACGTAAGGTATGTCCTGGATCGTGTACGATAGATGGACTATGTCACCCCTCACCGCCTAGCCCTTGGCTGTCTGTCTACTGCTACACGAAAACAGTATTTCGTCGCTACAATTGAATACCGCCATCTCGTTCAAAAATATTTTATACCTAGATTTACTATTCCACCAACCAGCCTCACAGAACGATCATCAAAACGCTTTCCTCGACGCTGCATTATTCATGTCGTCGAACCAGTACCATCAAATCTTCATTTTACTTCACAGCATTATATCTAATTAGCTCCCTCTTTCCTGAATCAGTAACCTTTGGTTTTCAGTCCATAGCCCAATTTAAAACCACTATTTTTCGTAAATTACTTGACATGGATAATGTGTTGTATTTAATTAAGTGTGTTGTGTTGTATTTTAGTTCTTTCATTTTAACAAAGATAAATATTCTACTAAATTAGTTATCAATATCTTATGAAACAATCACTTTTGAGATTTGAACCACATGAGAGTAATATTCAGTAAATATATTTGAATTTAAAAAATTCATTTGATTTTCAGGACATTGATTATATCATTTGGACAGGTGATCTTCCGCCTCACGATGTTTGGAATCAAACTCGAGAAGAAAATTTAAGAATTCTTCGTGAAACTGTTAAGCAAATGGTTGGTCACTTTCCTGGAATTCCAATATTTCCTGCAATTGGCAATCATGAGAGTGCACCTGTGAATAGGTGAGATATAAGTATTTAGTTGGATATCAAAATTTCCGTATGAATTTACATTAAAAAAAAAAGAGTAGTTAACAATGCAGATACAATCACGTTACTGAGCTCTTATATTTTCGATTGGAGAAAATTTGAAATATTAATTTTAAAGAGCAAGACATCGATTTTTTGAAGGTCTCATAAGGTTCTAAATCTTAAAACTTTTAAAAAAAATTTTTTGGCTTATTTGATAGGATTTTTTCTTCATTCCCAAAACTTTTTTAGAATGCAGAAGTTTGATTCGTACGTCAATATCAAGCTATTTGTGAGAAAATGCACTTTTTAAATATGGTTAATTTAAAACTATGGAAATACATACATCTCATGATTAGAGGGAATTGGCGTAAATAAGCTACGAGTCAGTGAGAAGACCGAGGTCTTGGTGCAAGCGAAACGGTTTTCTCACTGGGGTGTAGCGCACTCTGCTTGGAAGGAGGAGTAGTTGAGCTTTCATGTTGGCGTCGATGATGTTAATGCTCTCCAAAGTTAACATTTGAGGTCCTTAATGAATCGGGCAGCTGACCAGATACTATGACTATTTACTTGATGTCCAAGACAGGGAGATGAGAAAAAATAGTAGGTATAAGTTTATCAAAAGCATCTAGCTCTTTTTATTTGTTTATAAGGGGAAGAGTCACTTCCTAAAAAGTTGATAAATAAGTGTTGATGAACAACATTTAATGTCGAATATCCAAGTGCCGCTCAGCGCGGCATTATTTAGTCGAACTGTTAAATTTGTAACTCGCTGTAAAAGTACCTAAATGCATCTAAAAGAAAAAAGTAACGTATAATTTCGATGAGAAATTGACTCAGCTTTCCGATGGTGAGCTCAGATTTTCCAAAATTTTCCGCTTTACCCGGGAAAATTGACGGAAAATCTTTAAACTTGACTTTAAACTCGACGGAAAAACTTTAAACTCGATTTTCCCGGGTAAAGCGGAAAATTTCAGCTCACTATCGGAAAGCTAAGGCAATTTCTCATCGAAATTATACGTTACTTTTTTCTTTTAGATGCATTTAGCTACTTTTACAGCGAGTTACAAATTTAACAGTTCGACTAAATAATGCCGCACTGAGTGGCACTCGGATATTCGACATTAAGTGTTGTTTATCAACACTTATTTATCAACTTTTTAATAGGATTAAAATTGCTAAATTCATATTTAGGTATGTACTTTCAATTAAAAATGATAAATGTACAAAATTCATTGTGCATCATTTATTATTTTATACATTTATCGAATTTCCGACGCTATTTCGTCAAAATTGCCCTAGTACACTAGTACAGAATTACGCCGCTACGTGGCGTGACGGTATCGTTCAGTCCTCAATAGGTAGAATGTTTTAGCAGTACAATAAGTGAAAGTGGAAAATAGAAACGTGTGTGAGCTCAAGTCTAGTGACATGAGCCCTAGTTGGCCCGGAATCTTGACTTAATGCAGTCTAGATCCGTAGCTTTTGCATGGTTAACTCATCAAAGATAAATGTGTTTCTTAAATCGAGTCGCACGGACACATCGTCACTCGTTCCTGCTGAAAAAAATCATGGGAAAAATCATATGATGTTTTGGCATGATTTATCATATGATTTTTTATATGATTTATCATATGATTTTTCCCAGCAAGGGAAGCAAACCCTTATTTTTAATATAAAAACCATTAGAAGGAAGTGCCAAAATATAAAGTCTGAATTTATTAATGTCATTGAAAATGAAGAAACTACTTTTGAAAATAGCTTAAAAATGTACATTTAGAGCACAACAATTTGAATAATTTAAAAGAGTTTGAAGTGAATTATAAAACTGCCGAACTGTTAAATCATCAAACTGCCTGAATTTGTACCGTTTTATAAACGATTAGCATCGATATTTTCTTGATGGTAAGATAACATTGTTATATCTGAATTTCCATGCCTACTACTTTTATAATTCACTTCAAACTCTTTTAAATTATTCAAATTGTTGTGCTCTGAATGTAAATTTTTTTAGCTATTTTCAAAAGTAGTTTCTTCATTTTCAATAACATTAATAAATTCAGACTTTATATTTTGGCCCTTCCTTCTAATGGTTTTTATATTAAAAATGAGGGTTTGCTTCCCTTGCTGGGAAAAATCATATGATAAATCATATAAAAAAATCATATGATTAATCATGCCAAAACATCATATGATTTTTTTCATGATTTTTTTCAGCAGGGGTATTTCAAACATCCTGCAACACAACACCAAGAAACCATTACCTCTATTCACTGTGGAACTAAAAGCTGCAGATAATAACAAGGAAATATTTAATGTAACACGCCTTCAGCACACTATTGTGCTTTTTGAAGCTCCTCGAAAGTATAGAGATATGCCGCAATGCTCAAAATGCCAAAAATTCTGGCACACAAAAAATTATTGCTATCAATCCCCAGTATGTGTAAAGTGTGCCGGTAGTCATCTCACACAAGACTGTAGCATTAAGACTAAAGTTACAGATGTGCGGTGTGCAAACTGCGGCGGAAATCACCCGGCCAGCTACAAGGGATGTCCTTACCGAAAGGAGCGTCTGAAGAAGATGTATCCGCCCAGAGGTGCCAAACCACCAAAAGCTCAAACCCTACCGGAAACCTCACAATCTCCCCCGCATGCATCGAACGTTACGAACAACAGCACAGTGAACGCAAAAGCAACTTACACCCGGGTCATCTCAGCGGCCTCATGTGTACACCCTAGTGACACGTTCTCTCATAACCAGACAACACAGGATATAAACAAAACCGAAAAGATAGAAAACATGTTGATTCAGCTTATGGCCAGACTTGACATCATGCTAAATTTACTCACTCTCGTTATAAACAAACTAAACGATGGAAAATAAAATCAAGCTCGTTATATGGAACGCTAACGGTCTAGCCAACAGGAGGCTAGATGTAGAAACATTTATCCACGAACAAGAAGTCGATGTTCTTCTGATTTCTGCAACTCACTACTCGATGAGAAACTATTTTTCCATGCCAGGCTATAAATTCTATAACACCAACCACCCAGACGGCACAGCCCATGGCGGCACGGCAATTATTATCAATTCAAAATTTCAACACTCAGTACTAAAGGGACATCGGGAAGAAAACCTGCAAGCCACCAGCATCCGACTGGAGTGTCAATCGAGTTCTCTGGTGGTGTCAGCAATTTACTGCCCTCCAGCCCTCAGAATTTCTCAAGTTGAATTTGAAAATTTTTTCTCAACTTTAGGAAATCGTTTCGTCGCTGGCGGTGACTGGAATACAAAGCACCCTTGGTGGGGCTCTAAGTCTCAGACCCCCAACCCCAGAGGCAGACAGCTCTACGAAGCAGTCACCCACTGCAACTACGTAACAGTTTCCACGGGGAAGCCGACCTACTGGCCGACGGACCCGAAAAAATTACCCGATCTCATTGACTTTGCAGTCGCAAAGGGAGTCAGTAAAAATATGTTCTCTGTAGCCTGTAGCCTGGATCTCTCGTCCGATCACACGCCAGTAATCATCCACTTGGACATGCAAGGAAAGAAGCGAGAAAATTTGCGCAAGAAAACCAACTGGAATAGCTTCAAAAAAGAAGTCGCTTTAAATTTATCATGCGCAATACCTCTTCGTCACCCGGTGGAGCTGGAAAAATCAGTTACGCAATTCGCCGACGTCTTCCATGAGGCCGAAGTGAAAGCAACAACGACACTAAAAGAAGCAGGAAAATACAGATGTACGACATCAGGCATCTTACAAAAAATAAACGAAAAAAGAAGATTACGAAGAGAATGGCAAAAAAATCGCAACGCAGTGACAAAAGCAAGGCTGAACAAAGCGATCAAAGGTCTCAAACACCTACTGAAAGAGACAAAAAACTCGCACATAAGAAACTACCTGCAAAATCTTACAGCTACCGAAGCCTCCGGATACTCCTTGTGGAAAGCGACCAAACGACTCGCACAGCCAAAAAACTTTGCAGCTCCCATCCGCAAGCCATCGGGTGATTGGGCGAGAAGTGACAGGTCAGTATTCGCCGCTCATCTGGCAGCGGTTTTCCAGCCAAACCCGAGAGTCATCTCAGAGAAAGAAGAGAGTGAACTCCTGGACAATACCGTTCTCTCCATCGCAGATACTAGTCCTATCGAGCCCGTAGAGATCAGGGAGGTCAGGAAAATTATCAAAAATTTTAGTGCAAAAAAGCTCCAGGCCACGACCGCATCTCGGGAAAAATGATTAAGGAACTCCCTCCTATAGCCATAACATACTTAACGATCGTATTCAATGCTTGTCTGCGCCTTTGCCATTTTCCCTCGCAGTGGAAGGAAGCGCAGATAATCGTTCTTCATAAACCAGGCAAGGCGATGGAAAATACATCATCTTATCGACCGATCAGTCTCCTTCCGGTAATCTCGAAGATCTTTGAAAAAATAATCTTGGCGAGATTAGAGCCGATAATCATCAACAACAATCTCATCCCTGACCACCAGTTTGGCTTCAAAAACAAGCACTCGACTGTCGAGCTGGTGCATAGAATTGCGAACAAGATCTGCGACTCATTTGAATAAAAAAAGTATGTCTCCGCCTCCGCCCAAAATCACCTTGACAAGCTGGAGGTGTGGCTTAGAAGATGGCGCATCAAGGTGAATGGGGATAAGTCTGCACACATTACGTTCACTCTCAACAGAGAAACATGTCCTCGGGTATCTCTATACGGCAATCCGATTCCGGTAGTGCATCACGTCAAATACCTAGGACTCCACCTAGACCGCCGGTTAACGTGGAGAACCCACATATGGGCCAAAAGAAAGCAGTTGGGCTTAAAACTGCCCTCGATGTACAGGCTGATTGGCCGGAGCTCGCCCTTGACGTTGGAGAATAAGATCCTGATCTACAGGTCAATCCTGAGACCAATTTGGACATATGGATGTCAGCTATGGGGTAGAGCGGCTAACCCAAACATCCTAGTCATAGAGAGATACCAGG